TGGTCCGGGCGGGGGGGCCTGCGGGCGCCTACGGCTTCCAGAAGGCTGTGCGGCACAGGCGAGCCAAGCCGGGCTGACCCAGTGCCTGGGGGCGGTATTTCTCCGGGCTCTTGAAAGGCAAGGAAGTGAGGCCCAGAGAGTACGAGGGAGGAAATACGTTTATTCCTGTCCTCGAGGCAGGATGAATGTGGAAATGCTGGTGCGAATGTGTGTTTAAGTACAGCGAGGACTCTTGATTATCCAGTATCCTTGCCTTTTGAGGACGCTTTCTCAAGAAGGACGAGTGGGTCTCTCTCAGCCCCTGGCTCCTCTGCTGCCTCGACCTCGGGTTTCGGGTTTCGGTGCAGGAGCCACCAGGTCAAGAACCACGCCTCACACAACCAGCCCCGAAAATGGCACAGAAATGGCATCAAGAAATTCCATCACAAAGAAGCTTTCAAGTGGGTAGACCACCCCCCCCCCTCAAGTTCCTGAAGAACATGCGTTTTGCCAACAGAAAGTGTCTGAAAAAGATGGCAGGCCAACAACGCCAAGGCCATGAGTGCTCGAGCAGCTGTCAAGGCCCTCGCAAAGCCGAAGGGGAGTAGCCGCAAGCTCAGTTGACTTGCCTACATTGCCCACCCTAAGTTCGGGAAATGTGCTTGGCCCATATCGCCATGGGCTATCAAGACCAAGACTCAAACCAAGGCCCAGACCTCAGCTACAGCTCCATCGTCAGATCCCAATCCAGCTCAGGCTGTCAAAGGTGTCCAGGCCCCCACAATAGCTCCAGAGTAAAGGCCTCTGCCAGTATAAGGACAGAAGGACTGGTGACCCCTGGGCTGCTCTCTGCGTGGGGCTGGTGTCCTCCGGTGCTGTTTGTGCAAATAAACCTGAGTCGGGGAAAGTTTTTTTTTTTTTTGGAGAAGTTTTTGCTATAGGGCGCTGTGCGCTCGCCAGACAGAGAGACAGAAAGCGAGAAATCACCCCCCCCCAGGGGGGATGGCCACGCCAATCCCTTCTCCTCCATTCTCCTCTCGGGATCTTGGGCACGCACGCACACACACCCGGTGTGAGTTTAAGCCACGGGGTCCAGGACACGAACTGTAGTCAACTACGTGGGAGTCCAGTGACACAGCCATTATGCTAACTGCTGGTCCCCCGGAAATTTTTTTTAAAAAGACAAATGGGAAAGGCTTAAAGAATAGCTTATGGAGGCCAGCAGGTGGCATGATGGTTGAGATACTAGACTCCAACAGTTCGGACCATGGGTGGAGTCCAGAGATGGTGGCTTGAGAATCACAGGGCGTGTGTGTATATGCCCAAAATCAGAGTAGAATGGAGGAAAGGGGATTGTAGTGTGTTTATACCCACTGAGAGGTGAATTCTCACTTTCCCTCTTAGCTGACCCCTCTCTGTCTCTGGTGGGTGCAGGGCCCCTATGGGAAAAGAAAAAAAAAAAA